TGTGTTTTCGGCCAGCTGTACGAAATTGAACGAAGCATTTCAAACGGTCGTTTCGAATTCAGCCGATTGGAATACGTAAATAGCAGCGGAATTGTAGCGAACTTTTTCCTTTGTAATTGGTGTATTTATTGAACTTTTATAAAATAACTTCATGGCGATGAACACTTCTTCAGGTGCGAATAATGCATCAAGCCAACAGCCACGCAAGATATCAAATCAAAATATTCAAGTTTATGTGCGCGTTAGGTAAGTAACAGTTTTACACAAACGTTTTGTTTCCACTGAAAAACCAAAAGTGTCATTTAAACTTTGTATATTTTTGTTAGACCCTTAAATGCTCGAGAACGTTGTATAAGGTCCGCGGAGGTCATTGAAACGGTATCACATCGGGAAATAGTAGCAAGACATACAATTGAATCAAAGCTGACCAAAAAGTTTACATTTGATCGCGTTTTTGGTACAGATTCACGCCAAGCAGATGTCTACAGCACGGTGGTTGCGCCGCTCATTGAGGAGGTGTTATCCGGCTACAATTGTACCGTATTTGCCTATGGACAAACTGGTACGGGGAAAACGCATACAATGGTGGGCACTGAATGCGCCGAGTTGAAATCATCTTGGGAAGACGTAAGTATAATTTTCTGCATTAATGAATTTGAAAAGGGTTTGTGTTAGCAGCATAATCGCGATGCGGGTGCGAAACCAGTTTGTAGAAAAGGCAAAACAAAAAGCCTTGAAATATTGCGTTTTAACTTTCTACCTGAAAATAATTGGAAACTGATTATAAAGAGACGTTAGAATGAAGTGAAACTGATGGTAAATATATTTCTTTTAGGATTCTGATATTGGTATTATACCACGCGCTCTGAGTCATCTATTCGACGAATTACGTATGTTGGAAATGGAATTTTCGATGCGAATTTCCTACTTGGAATTATATAATGAGGAATTGTGTGATTTGCTATCATCAGATGATAGTGTAAAAATACGCATCTTCGACGATAGCACAAAGAAGGGGTCAGTCATTATACAAGGTTTAGAAGAGATACCAGTGCATAGCAAAGATGATGTATATAAGCTTCTGGAAAAGGGCAAAGAACGACGCAAGACTGCCACTACATTAATGAATGCACAATCGTCACGATCGCACACGGTGTTCTCCATTTTAGTGCATATACGTGAGAATGGCATGGACGGCGAGGAAATGTTGAAAATTGGCAAATTAAATTTGGTAGATTTAGCGGGTAGTGAAAATGTAACCAAAGCGGGTAATGAGAAGGGTATACGTGCAAGAGAAACCGTTAACATAAATCAAAGTCTGTTGACTTTGGGACGCGTCATTACCGCTCTAGTAGAACGCACACCCCACATACCATACCGAGAGTCCAAATTAACTCGTCTGCTGCAGGAATCGTTGGGTACGTTTTTTTTTTAAATACAATAATGGTTTTCTCATTTATTAATATTAAATTTAATAACTAGGTGGGCGTACGAAAACATCCATAATTGCCACAATATCACCTGGTCATAAAGATATTGAAGAGACATTGAGTACATTGGAATACGCACATCGCGCTAAAAACATACAAAATAAACCAGAAGTAAACCAAAAATTAACTAAGAAAACTGTGCTCAAAGAGTATACCGAAGAGATTGATAAGTTGAAGCGTGATTTAATTGCGGCAAGAGACAAAAATGGCATATACTTAGCGGAGGACACGTACAACGAAATGACATTGAAAATGGATTCACAGAACCGAGAGTTAAATGAGAAAATGTTGCTGTTGAAAGCATTAAAGGATGAGCTACAAAATAAAGAACGTATCTTTAATGAGGTTAGCTTAAATTTAGTGGAGAAAACTGAAGAGCTGAAGCGTGCGGAACAAAATCTCAATCAAACGCAAGGCGCGTTGCAGCAAACAAAGCGGGTAAGTGAAATAAATGTTTTTTATATAAAAAAAATGGGAATAATTTTGCTCTACATCTAAATAGATACTGAATAACACCAAACGACGTTATAAGGAAAAGAAGGTTTTGCTGCAATCGCACATTAAAACCGAGGAGGTGCTTACGAATCAGGCATTAGAAATTTTAGATGTTGCCGACATTGCCACCAAAGACACACATCAATTACATGTAAATACAATTCAAATATATATTTCTTTAGTCTTCTTCAATAAAGTTTTGCTTCCCTAGAGTACAATTGAGCGCAGAAAAGATGTTGATGTAAAAATTCAAACTGCTTGTGAACGTTTTGCCGAACGTATGCATGACAACTTTGAATTAATGGATAGTAGTTTAAGCAGTTTCAAAGAGAAACAAGATTCATGCACTAAAATGCTTATGGAAGAATTTGGTAAAAATATATATTTTTTTTAATGTTTTAAAAAATTTTAATATTTAATATATATATTGTTACAGCCAACACCTCAAATGCTCACAAGCAGCTGATTAATGATGGCAACATGAAAATACAGAAAGTCAACGATTTATGCAAAGAATCGCTTGCAACAACCAACACCATCATTGAAAAATGCACGCAAGCGCTTGGCGATGCCAGCAGTGAACAAAAAATAAAACTAACCTATTTGTTTAAAGAGCTGGAGAGTAAACAAATCGAAATGATTGCACAAATGCAAGAGAAACTACAAGATTTAGTTCGGTTCACAGAGCAACAAAAGGCGACCACCGAAAAGATGTGTAAAACCGTTGTAGAAAGTCTTCAAGAAAAATCGCAAAATCTACAATTGCACACCAAAAAAATGACGGAACGTATTGCTGAAAATAAACAGATCTCAGAGACAAGCATAGAGCAATTGGCACGAATGCATGTTGAAATAGAAAATGAGCGTGCAGCGGCTACCGAAGAACGTACAATTATGGAGGAAATCATTGAAAAATTGAACACCTTGAAAGAGAAATCCTACACGAACCGAAAGACACGCGCCGACGCCATAAACACGCTAACGGTAAAATTGGAAGACAACACACAATCAACAATTGCACGTTTACAACAGAGCTCAACATTTGCGCAAACCTATTGCGAGGAGAGTTGCAATGAGAACGTGGCCATGCAACAAGAGTTCGAAAAGCAAACTGCCGAAGCACTAAAATGCAACGAACAACAAGCAAATGCAAAATCAACGCTCAAAGAACAACTTTGCAACATGCAACAAGATGGCTGCGTACGCATTGTTGAGTTCACTACTACGGCCGCCAAACATTTGGAGTGCACACAGAAAACGTTGGGAGCATATGTCGACGAAGTGAAGCGCGCACGAGTGGAGAGCGAGTTGAAAGTTGACGAAGCTACTAACGATGTAAAGACGAGTCTCACGCAAGATGCGCAGCGTTTAAAGCAACATGTGGCCGTTACGTCAGGCTTGACCAACGCCATACAACAAAATATACTGAATTATGCCAACACTTACAATGATCAGATGGGCACTTGCGTCAACGATGTGGACAAATTTAAGCAGAGTGAGCTTAAGACGTACGCGCCAACAGGTAAAAAGTTGAAGCATTGAAGTTGAATTTGCAGCGAAAAATATACAAATTTCCATTGCATATTACAGGTGCTACACCATCGAAGCGCAATTTCGTTTATCCTCGTTCATTGGCGGCCACATCGCCACATATTGACATCGTGAAACGTTATCGCCAAGAGAACGAGTGGTCGGATCTGGATACAACAGTTCCTATTGATGAGGTATGTTGTCATGTAAATCAGTAAATTTGAAATTTTTAGGGTTAGGTGAACAGGGTGTATTCAGTTTGTCACGAAGTTTGTAGCATCCAAAAGGAAAGATAAGAGACCCTAAAAAATATTTAGGTATATAAATGATCAGCGTAACGAACTGTGTTGAGTTACCCATGTCCGTCTGTCTGTATATACGCGAAATGACCGCTTCGAATAAATGAGCGACTAGCGTCCGACCTCGATGAAACAGCTCGTTTCCTGGGCCTCCCGTTAGATAATCTCGACGACAACGGATCTGGAATTTATCACCCAAACGGCGATTAGGTAACCGTTACAACAACAACACAGCGACTAGCAGTTTTTGAGATATCGCTCTAAATTTTTGCACACTTCCTTTTCTCTGAAAGAAGCTGCTCCTTTGTCGGAACCGCTGATATCGGATCACTATAGCATATAGCTGTTATACAAACTGAACAATCAAAATCAAGTTCTTGTATGGAAAACTTTTTTATTTGACAAGATATCTTTACTAAATTTAGGATGTATTATTCCATAAGTCAATGCTAAAATATCCGAAGAATTTTCCCAGATCGTACCACAGGCTGAATCAAAATCAAATTCTTGTATGGAAAATTATTTATTTGTGCAGATTATTCTAGCTTCGGTACAACCGAACTTACCGTTTTTTCTTGTTATTGTATATTCTCGTGAATTTTACAGGGCAGCGAGGATGAGCATGAGTTGAAAAATTCCGTACAGGAAATTTCCAACACTGAAATTCTACTCAACTCAACACCCATTGATTTAACAAATGTAGTCACGCCGCAACAAAATAATGCCGCAACCAAAAAGTTAAATGCTATCTTATCGAAAAAGCAGTTGCGTAACAGCAATTCACTGTCTGGCGGCAGTTCGCCACGCAAACCGTCCCCAGCACACAATTCATCAGCACCAACTTCAAGAGTGAGTGATTTTTCAACTAAATTTGATTTGTGTTTCTGATTGCCCTTCTCTTTATTTACAGGCTAACAAGGAAAACTTGTCCTAATTGAAAACCATCTGAAACGCTTCAATCACAACTTATTCTCCGTTCTTGCTGTTTACATAATTTAACTGTAAATTTATTTAAAACCAAAAAAATGCATGTACTTCACGCTGAAGGTATGCTTAACTGCAGTTTGCGCTACTTTATTGAGAATAACGGCACATATCAATTACTCGAAAGCATGCATCTGATTTAAATCGACAAAAGTGAGGCGAATGCATTAGTCACTGCTATGGAATTTCGAAATTTATTGAACTCGCATGCAATCACAACAAAAATTTACAATGAAAATTTGTTGCATTAAATACAGCTTTTTAAAAGTTAAATACAATAAATATAAATACTATATATAATTATATGAGGAGTAAAATGAGTAGTATCAATATGCAGCGGTACCTTCGTTGTGTCGGTTCATTTACTGTCGTCATTGAATGTTTTTGTAAAATTCGATTCAAACTTATGGTATTTTAGTAATGTCTTAATCTTACTTTGTTGTATGTTTAATTTTAAATGTATACAATTTAAAATTGCTTCACTTTCAAACCGATATTTGTATGTAAATATTTTGCTTGTACTTTTTTTTTAATCTCTTTTGCTGATTTGTAAAACAACAAAAAAACGAAAAATAAAAATAAACAATTTCTCGTAACACTTTAATCGTCGTCTTCTTCATCCTTTAAAATTCCCAAGCGTCGCGCCACTTCTTTGACGTTGGAAATGAATTCCTCTTGCACCAGATTGAAGCTCATCGCCAGTAGTGCTATGCCGAAGAGCAAATATAGCGAACAGTAAGCGATGGACTGCTCCGATTCGTCTTTCACACCTTTAGCGGGCACGAAGTCGCCAAAACCTGCAAAAACATTTAAATATTAATCATTTAACATGTTTTTTTTAATAATACATTTTTTTTAAATTCATTTGCTTTTTATTGAATTATTAGTTGAATTTAAAATATTTTTTGTTTAATTAATTTTTAAAATTAAATTGCTTTTTTTAAATTAATTTTCTTTATGTAATAATTTGTTTTTTATTTAAATAAATTGTTTTAATTTAGCTATTTTTTTATTTAGTTTATGTTTTTTATTTTATTTTTTTTAATTTAGTTAATTTTTTAAAATTATTTTTTAGTTTAGTTTATCTCTTTTTTATTTAGTATATATTATTTTATTTAGTATATATTTTTTTATTTAGTATATTTTTTTTTATTTAGTATATTTTTTTTTATTTAGTTAATTAATTTTTTTAAATTTAATTTTTTAGTTTTAGTTTAGTTTATTTTTCTTTTAATTTAGACTATTTTTTATAACTTTTTTTTTAATCTTTTTTTGAATCTTTTTTAGTTAATTTGTTTTGATTTTTTTGTTTTAATTCAGTTAATTTTAATAATGTCATCCACCCTACATATAATACATATATACGAGTATATACTTCATATATATAAATAATCAGCGTGGCGAGCTGAGTTAATTTAGCCATGTCCGTCTGTCTGTATATATGCGAATTAGTCCCTCAGTTTTTCAGAAATCGATCTGAAATACAATCTCCTACAAATATTGTCCAAATCGAGACACTATAACATATAACTGCCATACAAACTGACCGATCAAAGTTCTTTTAAGGAATCTTTTGTATTTGTGAAGGGTATTACAGCTTCGGTGTAACCGAATTTAACGTTTTTTCTTGTTTTCTGTTATTTTATGTTATTTTATGACAATTATACCATAATATCTTCTTTGTTATTTGTAGTTTTTATTGTTTATTTAGGTTTATACTATGCATATACTTATTTGTTATATTGTTTTCATTAGTTTTTTAATATTTTACTTATAATTATTGTAAAATATATTATTTATTAATATTTACATAAAATATTGACATTTGCTTTTAATTTCTTTATAATTACTATTTTTTATTATTTTATTTCTCATGTTCTCAATTTTGTTAAAATTTTGATGAAATTTATATTTTTACACTCTTGCAACATGCAGCTACAGAGTATAATCGTTTTGTTTACCTAACGGTTGTTTGTATCACCTAAAAATAATCGAGTTAGATATAGGGTTATATATATAATATATAAATGACCAGGATGACGAGACGAATTGAAATCCGGATGTCTCTCTGTCCGGCTCTGTCTGTCTGTCTGTCTGTGCAAGCGAGTACTTGACATTAAGGCGGAACACTTGCGGTTTAAATATCTTTAAAAAGTGGGTGTGGCCCACGCTCCCTAATAAGTTTAATGTATATGTAAATCTTCCAAACAAATAAACACTTAAATTAATAAATTCAAAATTTTAAAAATCTAAAAAATCATGTGACCTACCGATTGTGGTTAAAGTTATGAAACAGAAATAGGCAGAGTCCAAAAACGACCATTTCTCCCAGTAAGCAAAAAGTGCCGCGCCACCCAAAATATAGCTGATGACCAAAAATACGCAAAGCCAGATCGGCACTGGGCGATCCTTTGGCGATATATCACCGTAGTAGTCGCTCCAATCGTCACCATAGTTAGAGTCGTCATCGTAATCGTAGCTGTAGCGGCGACGTATCTGGCGCTTTACAGGAAAGCCCATGGGAGACATGATGCGCGGTGAAGGCGGTAAGCGTTCTGTAAGAGTAGTTCAATATGGAAATATATCCGACAAACTCTATACATCATAAAATATCAACTTATCTTACCCGGACGCTCTCTTCTATACCGCCGATCTCTATGCCTGGGTTGGTATGCCAACTCACGATTATCATAGTCATCGTAGTATACATCACGATCATCTAAATAATAATCATCGAATTCATCGTCGTAATCATCGATGGGCGCCGGTGAGCGACCGCGTTTTGTGTGGTTCATTGAGTGAGTGAACTCAGGCAATTCCAAGCGATCGCCATAATGCGAGTGATGTCCAGAGTGCTGGCGATGTGGTGGTTGCGGAGATACGTGACGCGGTTGATTGTGATGTGAGTGATACGAACTAACGCCGTTACTGCGCTGATCTTTGTTAAAACTATTTTTTTGTAGCGCCGAGCGCGGCATAGACTGACTGCGTGACATATGTTTGCCACGAGGCTCGCGATAATGATCGAGTTCATCAATTGCATATCGATTGGGTATGATGGGTGTTTTGCGCACAACTTCCTCATCGACGGCGGCGTCATAGTGCATACGTGGATCTACGGATTTTGCGCGTGCCGCTGGTGGCGCATGCGGCACTGAACGACCGCGTTGCATGGTGCGCGGATTCATTCTATTGATTTCGCGCATTTCTCTCGATTCACGTGGCGGCGCCACGCGTAATGCATGTGCATCACGTGCGTCATGGCGTAACGCTTCCGGTAACGGGCCAACATCGCGGCGTGCGCTTGATGCGCGCACTGATCGCATGTTGTACGAACGCTTCGATTGTGGCGCGTTAAAATCTTCAAAGGAGTCTGATCGCTGTTTCGGATGCCCAATGTAACGCTCACGCTCGACCGTGTGTCGACCGCGCATGCTTTCGCGATTGCGCATGCTGCGTCCGAACCTTGAACCACGATTAAGTGTCTGTGTCTGCCGTGGACCCTCATCGTAATACTGCTGGCCATATTGATAAGGTGGTATCTGCCGGCTGCGTTGTGAGTGACTGTTGTAATGATGTCGTCGTCCACTGTTACGTCCGCCTTCGTAATCATGTCGCCCGGAACGCAATTCCGGATCCGAGTACGCATGTTGTAGTCCATCAGAGTTGCCGAAACCAGAATCAGCCATGGAGCGCTGGGTGAGACGCATTGAACGGCGTATTGGTGGCGGCTGTGAACGTGAAGTATACCGTTGGCCGCGTCCAGAGCGTTGTCGCGGTCGGCGTGGGCGTCGCGTAGCGCGTGTGCAAACATAGCAACAAACACGCCAATATATGAATCTTTGTGGAACATTGAACACGATTTTACTATATAATTGTTGGTAAAGTATTATTTATTATTTCTGAGTATCTACCTAAAAGAGGTGGCCATTACATCTCCGATATTGGATAGACATAGCAACATGAGTGGTATGCCTACAATGGCATAGAAAATGGTTGTAACTTTTCCCCAGTCTGTCCGTGGTGATATGTGTCCATAACCTGAAAATAATTTCAATTGCATATGGTGCATAGTCGTTAGCAGGATAAAATTACACTCAAAGTTTAATTATTATTTTGAACGTCTATATTGTCTGCGTTGTCAACAACCATGATGAAACAAATCGAAGATAATCTAAGGTCTTGCCAGGGTCAAGTCTGTATAAGTAGAACTTCAATATACTCTATCTGGCAAGGACCACTTTGGTTTCTGAAGGAAACTCGAGCTCTTTTTGTACAGTAGTACTCTTCTTGTACAGAAGTACTTCCAAATTCACCGGAATAGAGTCAAGGATGGTAGCAGGCGTTCCCCTGTCTTCGTGAATTCGGGCGCTGGATCTATGGGCCATGGGTTGGTCAGTAACCAGCACTTGTTGGAAACGTACCATAAAAGGTCCTTTGAACTGCTAGCTCATAGCAAGGCTTACATCGCCACATTAAGGGGCCCCCTTATTCGACACTTTTTCAATGGCACTCACTTAGTGAGGCTAAAGACTTTGGAGGACGTCAAAGTTGCAATGAAGAAAATGAAGTGGAAACATCTACACTCCTCCACTATGCAGCTTTCACCGGACTAAGGTTGAAGCATCTCGGTTGCCTAACTTTAAATGATCCCGGCGAATTGGCTAGAATTAATATTAGCCGCCTCAATAAACTTGTGGTAGGCATTTTGTCGATATGCGACGATCTTTTTGATCCATACCTAGGACTTCTGAGCATCACAACGGACAAGCGTCTCTATTTGTCGTCCAAGTGGGATTTTTCGTGGCCTCACGAGAAATCAGCCTATTTACTAAAACCAAACCTATGTTATTTCGGGGATGATTTCCGCGGAAACATCCGAGAAGAAATCGCTCTGAGAAGAGTACTCTATATTTTTTATGGGTAATATATAGGTTTCAGTTTTCAAATACTCTTAAGAAGGCATCAAAAGACGACCTGTTATAGAAGTAGCGCAGTATTCTGGCATGCTCCTACAAGTTGCAGGCAACCAATTTAGGGTTGCGTAATTCAAGACCGGTGACCAATCAATTCGCACGATAGTCGGTTCTAGGAAACAGGAATTTACTCGGATTTTCTATGTCTTAAGGCTGTTATTTCGAAGATCTAATTATTTTTGGGTCTGCAAAGTTTAACCACAAAAAGCTTGTCAGTGATAAAGCGTTAAAGGTTGTCATGACTGAACTATCAGGAGAAAGGAATACGTAAGTTTGAGGTGGCATTCAAAGTTGTAGTTAGTACCTTATGGTGACTAGTAGCACATAAGACATACGTTTAACATATTGCAGACAACCCTGGATACTTGTCTTAAAATTAACATGAATGAAACAATCTCCTTCGACTTTAATAAAAGAAAGTTTATAGATCCATCACTGAAGTAAGTTAAGTAATCACATTCTCCTCTATTTCTAATTTAACTATTTCAGTCTATTTGAGTTCCTTGTTTGATCGCCACCTACTTCCTTAAGAAGAAAAGGATTTGCAAGTTTGCTTAATATTCTTAAAATACATATTAGAAAGGACTTCAGCGTCAGTCGTTACCGATACGACGATCCTGTAATATCGTCCTTTTGAGGACAAACCTCAACATGCAAAAATAATACTCTCATCCAAACTACATATATTGAGAAGAAAAGTCACACTCTAACTAAGGAAAATACAAGACTGTTTTCATAACCATAAAACCTGGGTCTTTCAAAGGTATATGCACACTCAGTCTAGCATTTCTGTGGTCGCCCTTGTAAATCAGACTCCTGTACTTAGACAACTTTGCAACCATTTGTTAATATTTAATAAGTATCTGAAGAAAACGCAGTTAAAGCAAAATTAAGATGTTGCAAATACCTGCAAGCAAGTACTCATCCGAGTCTATATGGCTATATCGGTACATGGATATATGACAACGTCATGCCAAGCACACTATGCCATTGAAAATTGGTCAACCAACTGTAACGCATTGGGCAAGGCTTCCCATTGACCAGACGCAACTCGCATATTACACATGCGGCATGTAAGGCATTGTTGTAAGTACAACAATTCAATTCTTGCAATTATGAATTTTATGAGTTATGTACCGCAATTATTGAATGAGTAACTCAGAATTTGCCATTTGCCGGTTGCCATTGTACATATGTATGACACACATTCGATTCAATTGCTAAATTCACCATTTTTAACGCTTGTTTGCATGTCACCAGCCAGAAAGCGCAGGAAATGTGAGTCAAGCTGCCAACCCGTAACTGGCAATTACATACAGACATAATTGGGGGAGTTGTAAAGTTGTGATTGCACAAAATAATCAATTATTGCTTTTATAACAGATGCAAATGCTCATTAAAGAGTTCTTAACACAAGTCGCTGGACGGCATTGAGTATGTCGACATATTTATAAACATTAGGGTAGTTCATAAAAATTCGTTGACACACCTTAATTGATTATAGGATATAAAATAGAACTAAAATAAAAATACTATTAGGGTATGTCCTAATGTGCCTTTAAACCAACCTTACATATGCATATATGATTATTATACCCTAAAGAGGTTATATTAGGTTAGGTTATATCGTAGGATTGTTTCAAAATCGGTGGATCTCACTTGGACAGATATTTGCCCAAGGTGTTAGCCATAAACTCCCAAAAGTGGATCACTAGATTCTCATAGACCGACGAAGCGTTTCGATATTACCACAATTTTATTAAGGCGGCTAATATCAATCCCAGCAACTTTGCTGAGCTCGCCAAAGGTGTGTCTACCGAGATATTTCAATCTGTGACAATATGGTTCCAACTCGCCTTTCTCCTTATATGTTGCTTTGGCAAAGAGTGTCCGACAAAATATTTACCCGCACCGCGTGTGAACCTATTGGACAGTGTTCAGTCAGAATACCTACCTTTGCGGCGAGAATGCCTTTGCTAAGAGCCAGTAGTTCGGTGAACTTCTTATGGTTCACGCTGAGTCAAAAAGATCTCGCAGTCGCACACGTTCTGGTTGTTGACCAGAGCTTGTTGAGCTCACTGGAGTTCCAAAGCCTGAACGCAAGAAAACATCGGAAAACTGACTCGAACTGGCTAACAAGTTTGTAACACTCGGGGTCGGGGGCACTATAAAATATATGGTATTATTGATCAGCATCACGAGCTAGTTCTTGAGTTTTTAAGCTAAGATCTGAAATTATGCACACGTCATTCTCCACCTAAGTAGCTGCTCATTTGTCGGAACCATCGAAATCGGACCACTATAGCATATAGCTGCCATACAAACTGAATGATAAAAACCAAGTCCTTGCACCGAAAACTTTCTTAAAACTGTCTTCGCTTTCTCTGATCTTACAAAATAGTGAACTTCCATAAATTGCCACTTTTGTTGGAATGCTGCTAGACTGAGCCACCCTAATGGTTTTGTAAGTCAAAAAACTCAGGTAAAATGTGAGGTTTTCGGCTTGCTCTAATAAAATTGCATTCTATGAAAATTATCGCCAATTAAAAGTCGACTTATAAATAGTAAAGAATTTACAATAATGAACTCTGAACGAACACATAGACACCCACACACATGCACATAAAACAAACACACATACAAGTAGCAAGCGTTTCCGCGTGGTGGCCCAAAGCATTTGTTTTCATTAGCCACTTCGGTCAGTAAACTCTGAACGAAAGGAAAATTAATTGTCATAATTTTACCAACACTTTAATACAAACATACACATCCGCACTTATAAATATTTACATTAACTTATGTATATTACTAAATACCCGCATTCTAGTTAAATCTAAAAAATCTAATTTTGGGAAATTTTTTACGCTTAAAGCCATAACATTCAGCACTGACCTTGCACAGTATTATGGGTTTTTATCATTTTTCATTTGGGTATTTAAATTTCGACATTGTTGTTGTTTTGAAATCGCTTTCGTGCATTGGAGCGTGGATCATTCAGAAAGCGTTAGCTCTCCGCAACTCCAATTCACTGTCATTTATCGTCTAGTCATCAGCAACACTTTTGTTTCGGAGGCCAAAGACGTGAGAATAAATCGGCTTCCGTTGAACAGTAACAAATGGTGGTCAAAGCTAGTGGGTCCACAGTGAGATTTCAACATTGCAACTAATTTTCATTTCATTTGAATTACACGTATTATTAGTACAAATTTAAATATTTTTAATGGGTTATTTGAACTTGCTTAACTTAGCTTGCTAGCACTTGTATTCAAGTGATGATAGTCCCGATATTTTTTTTTAAATTAAATTAGAATTCGAACTTGTCAATTTTTTTGTTAAAGGAACGTGAGAAACACAAGTTCACTGACCACATTGGCTATTTTTTCTTGTAATCATGAAGTAATTTAGTTCCGATCTGAACTGAGTCTGCTGCTATGTCGAAGATTTTTTCGCACTTTTTTCAAGCTTTTACATTACATTTATTTTTTGCAGTCTACAGATCCATGTTTCTAAATGACCCCCCAAATTTGGAAAAACTTCTCATGGCAATAAGTTACTTTTTCCAACCTCATCACCTTCAACTATGTGTTAATTTTTTTCACTTTCAATCATATTTTTAACCTCTCACTCAACGAAGTACCTTTATTTGACGAGCATGTTTCTTTCAATCAATTTTCTTTCAATAGCGATTTCTTAAGAAACTTTTAAATCAAAACTTCCTTACAAAATTTTCATCGAGCAGTGATGTTTTCTTTTTTATTTGAAATAATTGCTAAATATATTCTTCCTAACGGAGTTTTTCAAACGACATAGACAAGTTCTTATACTAATTTAAAATTGCAGAATTTGAAAATGTACAACATGTAAGATTTTTCACCAAATTTTAAAATTGTTCAATATACCGCTTGTTACCCGGATAGCAACAAAAAACTGTCCAGACAGCGTTTAACACATAGGTTAAACAAAATTACCCCGAAATTCGGGATGAAGTCAGTTTTAAAAAAAACTACGCTAAAAAATATCTCGAATATTTATGTAGACACAAAAATTCCAAAATCTCTTTACAAGAGTTGAAACGAATAATTCCGAAATTTCGGGACCGATTATTTTTAAGAATATTAAAATTTCTTGATTCAGAATAACTGACTTTATTGCGGTAGAATAACAAATAAACTTTATATAAAATATCCACACCTTATATACATATGTACATGTGTATGTATACATATATTGAAGTACAAAAAATAACCCGAAAAGCCGAGTATTTTGAAAACTATTAACATCACTAGACCACACGCACAAAATAATTGCTGAATAATTTGGCCAATTATTTGAAACCAAAGCACAAATATTATTTTCAAGCGCTTTATCTCAAACCAAACCGAATAATCAACATTATTTTCGAAAGTTCAAAAACAAAGAGTTTTTTTTTTATTTATTCGAACCACTCAATTGTAAATAAATTAAGATCAGGCAATTCGGAAATATTTGCATTTTGCAGCTACTTCATATTCCGCACACGAATGCTTTACAGAATAACAAAAAATTGCCAAAAATGTTAATACATACACACACGCACTCATACAATTGCACAGACATGTGTCCTCAGCGCCAAAGACGCACTTGCAGCGTTAAATCGCCATTTCTTCGAATGATAAAAATGATTTATTTGAACATTTATTGGGCATCAAATGAGCGGTGATTAATGGCAGCCTAATGCCAGTGACCACCGAACGATGTCGATTGCTGGCAATAATTACTGTACTGAGATACCACACTCCCATGCACAGACAAATGAATCGCTGACCGTAAGAATGATGCATGTTGTCGATAATTCGATCAATGCAACGCTACGATCGCTGATTAGAAATGGCTTAAATTGACACCTACATATGTATATAAATATTTGGATTTTCGGTGGTTTCCTTTAATAATGAAGATACAAAACCACAAAGGAACGTGTCGGCATGAAATCTCTAATGAGTAATGAAATTTTGGTTAACCATAAATGAATTTCTTTTTAAATGAGTGATTGAATTGAAATTAAATTGCATATATACATTCATACGAGAGCGATCCGATAAGCAGTCAGCCTACAAATAAAGCACGAAATTTTTGGAAAAATGGCGATTTCACGATACACTTGATCCGCTTTCTGGCGGTCTAAAAATGAGGCCTCCGTGGCGGCGATGATCCCCTCATTGGACTAAAGTTTCTGCCAATGTTTGGAAATTAAAAAAAGACGCACAGTTCCAAATATGGACAATATGGTGGTTTTTGTTTTTCATTTCATGTTGAACTATTTTTTTGTGTACTTCGGCGTCAAATCGGCCTCACTTTTAAAGGGTGTCAAAAAAAAAACTAGAAGTACGTTTCGGCTGAGATTTTGACTGTAATATTCTATAAGAAAGCACTACTACGATTGTAAATTTCTCTCCGATGTTGTCGCCTTCAGGAGGTAAGACTAAGTATTTATCGGATTGCCCTTGTATATGCAGGCTATATGTCCGCGATCGTACTTTATTTGCTATGATTGCTACATTCTTTCGGTTTTTCTTCAAAAGAACAGATACACAGAAGATGCACATAAATATTTACGCTGAATTTTAAATATTTTATAGTAACCTAACGTCTACACTTCTTATTGCAGTCTAGGAGATCACACGTCTCGTCTTATTCTTCCCACCGAAAAACTCAACAAGCAACGTCATAATATTTGTGTACACTTGTGGTCAGTACCGTATACTCATCATTCTCATAATCATCATCAAAGTCATCATCGTCATCGTAAAAGTCCTCACTAGTGATTGTGTTGTGAGTTTATGAGGTTTTTAATTTTGTTTGGATTTTTCGACGATGCCGCAGTAACACGATGATGATGACGCTACAGTTGAACGCTCGTCTGGTCGAAATTTTTTATTTAAGTAGCGAGTGCCCAACTCATGCCAAATTACTCTAGCGACAACCACCGACGCGATCAAAACGCATCATAAAGCGGAAAAAAGAAATATTCTTATTTTGGCACAGTTGATTTCCAAACACAAGTGAAAATAATAAAAAGTTTATAACCAAAAAACCAAAAAAAAATAGTTGGTAAGTGGAGAAGCGAAATATTTACACAAACGAATGTGAGCGAAGTGAATTATTTGGAAACGAAGTTGAATCTAGGAACCGAATAATAATGGTCAATTAAAAATTAATAAAATAGCGAAGCTAAATAATGTAAAAAATAGAAAAATAAATAGTTTTCTAATATCTCAACATACATAACTATATGTTGGAATGTAAAAAAGGAGAAACTTTAAAAACTATAAAACCGAATTGCTTGTGCTAAAAGTGTATCACAGATATAAAATATGGACTAGGTTTGGAGAAGAGATTTTAATTCAATACAAAAAATCCGAAGAATAATAATTTGATGATCGAAAATCCCAACGATTTTGGTGTTGCTCTGATAAAAAGATCCTCAAGCCTGGTTGGCGATTCCCGCAAAAAACTAACCAATGCAGATGGCACGAAATACGAAGCTAATGCAATAACAAAGTTCTCAGGTTATCCTCTAGATAAAGATAAGAAGACGGGTCGACACCGTTACGACCGGTCAGGTAACCATTAAGCTATCTAATATATGTGATGCTTTCATGGATTACCACATAGCTTCACCTCTTGCTTAAACTCTAACTAAAGTTCTTTCGGTACCACGTTGTTCTGTTTCCAGCATTAAGCTTTCTTACAATAGCTGAAGTCTGACACAGCCTTGGCGCTAAATTTCTTAAATACATAACGCAGTTTTAGACGTTTCAATATATAGTCCTCGATTCTGGGGCCAAGATTCGTATACCTTCTGTTCGGTTATGGAATGTCCGAAAGTTTTTTTAACTAAGTGTATTCTGATAGACAAAGGATAAAAATGTGTATTCATTCAGCTTAGTGTCGAAAGCGGTAGGAAAAGTTAAGTTAGAAGATAAAGTTTAGCATAAAATGTGTTTGACGGTTTTGGTGATATTTGGTAACTAGAAAATGTACCTCGTTGTTAAACAGTTTCAGAACGTCCTCTTCAAACAATTTCTACACAAATTTCTGCCATGATCCATATATGACTTTAAACAAAATTTCTCTCATTTTAGGGTCGGCGAAATGAATAAACTGCAAGTTATATTACTTTTCTCAGCGACACTAATATGTTGCGCATATGCAGCACGCGAAGATGACCGTTGGGTGTGGGCCAGACGAAACGACTACAAGGATCAACCACGTCAATTGCATGACAGTACAGCCAGATATCAGTCTGAAACTTTAAGGCGCAATGCGCGAGCGCGTAATCGTGAACCAACTACCCGAAAACCGCTGCCGGGACAACCGCCAAACGACGAAATCGATGACTATGAAGATGATGTAAATACGAACGTCGCAACACGAAATTACCCTTACCCACCCTTTGGCAATGGTCAGTTATTTGGAGCAAACTTCTATCCGAATATTGGTGGTGGCTTTGGTGGGGCAACTGGAAATGGCAATGGTATATTGGTGGGGCCTGGAGGACCGACGGGCGTTATTGGACGGCCACAATCAGCATATCCGGGTGGATACAACGGCCAACCGGGTGTAGGCTTTCCAGCACAACCAGGCATATTCGGAGGAGGTAACGCCTTAGGGGCGGGTGGACAATTCGGACAAGCGGGTGCAGGTGGTTATTCCGGCGCAGAGGCTGGTTTAAATCCCGGTTTTGGTGGACAGTTTGGCGGTGTCGGACAATTTGCCGGTGGACAAGGTGGACAATATCCCATTAGCGGTCAATATCCAATTGGGGGACAATATCCAGGTGGGCCGCAATATCCTGGCACGCAATTTCAAGGCAACCAATTTCCAGCAGCGCAATATCCTGGTGCTGGCGGTCCCCAATATACTGAAGGTTACGGACTCGCCTCGGCCGGTGGGGGTTTCCCAGGCTATCTGCAGTACACTACAGGTGGTCCCTTTGGTTATGGAAATGCTTTTAATGATGCTGAAAGTGCGAATCGAAAACTGCAAGTTGAGGGTAAGAGTGTGGAAGTACTTAAAAGTAGTAAGCTGAGCAAGCAGCAAGTGGATGACAAGATTAATAAGGGACTCACAAAAGTGCCGCACTAAAAAATTATATCAACTTAATTGTTATTGTGTAACATTCTAAAAATTTGTAGCTTTAATTGTTTGTAGTTTTAAAATAAAAAGTATTAAATAATATTAGAAATTAAATCGCATTTCAAACACTCACCTATAGTTGTGATTACGATGATCGAGTAAAAAAGTGAACCCGCAAATGTCCACTGCGACTTCGTAACGTCCTCATCTCCATCCCAACCATTCGTTTTTATGGCGGTCACTATTTGTGTTTCGAAACCGGCTAAATCCTTCTTTACATTGGTGATCCAATCAGTTTCGGACAGCACTGAGGCATTGTCGGAGAAACGCCAAATTTTATCGGTCAAATTGAGGCGCAGGTTTTGAATATCTTTTTTAACCTGAAATGTTGAAAATTTAGTAATTAAAATTCAATTTAAATACTCGGAAACTATCAAAGGATTAAAAAAAAAACACGGTTTTTTGGATAACGGTAGTTTGTAACACCTAGAACTAATCGATATTTACCTAGAGTTATGAATATCAAAATGATCACGAAGACTAGACGAATCGGAGGCGGCATAATTGGACCATTGCCAAGCACAGAAAATACCGTTAATCGAAAAATTAAAAATTCAGAAACAACAATAAAGAGGGTAATTGTGGTTAAAACGTTTTTGTTATAGGCATGCCCACGCCTTCTAATATATCTTACCTATATCAACTTTTTAGCTTCTTACGAAATGGTGTGAAAATAGGTAAAATCAGATAATTGCCACGCCGACCTCAAATACAAAGGTTATGTTATATTATACAAGTATATGAGACCGTTCAAAAATTTAAGAATGGACTGGTGCTGTCTACTTTTAGATGAAATCTAACTTCATAACCTTTTAGAACGCAATTGCGTACATGATATTTTCGCGGCACTTGGCACAAATAGTGTTTCTGCTGTGTGCCAACTCTTATCTAAAAATGGTCGAAATCAGAATGTGACTTTTCTAGCTCTGAGATACCGAATATAAAGACCTAAGTGCCTATTAGAGCTTTATATTATATTAGGTCTGGTATAAAGAAAACCATTATTTTTCCAATAGATGGCTTGAGTAATCTGTGTATCGCGTATACCACATTCTGGAAGACCAATTGTCGAAACTATCGATAAAATAATGGAAATCTTCAATTCTGGCGGTCATGTAAGCACTATTTCGTTTCCCTAGGACCTAACAATGTCACCAGAAACCGTTTGGTACCATTTAAATAAGGCTGAATTTAAAAAGGAGCTCGATGTATGGGTTCCACACGAGTTAACACAAAAACTTCATAGATCGTATTTCCATCTGCAAATCTCCGCTGAATCGGAACAAAATCGATCCATTTCTGAAGCAGATGGCTAGGTGATATAAAGTGGGTCAACTTACGACAACATTAAGCGAAAACGGTCGAGGTCAAATCGCGACAGGTGGGCGCAAATGTTGGCCAAGCCAGAAGAGAGTGGCATTATAAAATTAACTTCAAAATGCCAACAAGTCAACGAACAAAACGGCGCTTATGTCCCCTAAATCTAGTAATTCTAACTGAGCTAAATAAAAATTTTCAATTTAATGAATGGTTGAGTACCCTTAGCACTTATATACATACATATGTGCATTCCTCTAACCGCGATTTAGTCTAACACCTCTTTTTATACCCTGAACAGGGTATATTAATTTTGCCACGAGGTTTATAACACCCAGAAGGAAACGTCGGAGACCATATAAAGTATATATATAAACGATCACTGTGACGAGCTGAGTTGATTTAGCCATGTCCGTCTGTCTATCCGTCCGTCTGTCCGTCTGTATATACACGAACTAGTCCCTCAGTTTTTGAGATATCGATCGAAATTTTGCACCTGTCCTTTTCTAACAAAGAAACTGCTCATTTGTCGGAACGGACGATATCGGACCACTATAACATATAGCTGCCATACAAACTGAACAATCGGAATCAAGTGCTTGTATGGAAAACTCATTCATTGGACGAGGTATCTTCATGAAATTTGGTATGTATTATTATTTAAGGCATTAATCTAATCTCCGAAGAAATTGTATAGATCGGATGACTATAGCATATAGCTGCCATATTAACTGAACGATCGGAGTAAAGTGCTTGCATGGAAATTTTTTTATTTGACGAGGTATCTTCACGAAATTAGGCACGAGTTATTGCTTAAGGCAACAAATTATTCTCCACAGAAATTGGTCAGATCAGATGACTATATCATATAGCTGCCATACAAATTGAACGTTCGGAATCAAGTTATTGTAAGGGGCCTTTGTATTTGTGAAGGGTATTATAGCTTCGGCGCAACCGAAGTTAAGGTTTTTTCTTGTTGGTTATTGTAATAGATTCAAAATTTCGAACTGAGCCCTTACTTACTTGCTAATACCAATCACTATATACGAGCACCTATAACTTATTTAAAAAATTCTCTAATTTTCCAAAATTGTGCCATGGGTATAAATTATCAAGCAAATACAACTCACTTCGATTTCGTGTGGCTTTTCCAAATGTTGAAATAGGTATGCGCCTCCAACACAATATGAGACCACCATCAGTACCAGAATCACGTGCGACACCACGCAGGAAATCACTTTCCATGAAAAGCAAATTGCCGTTATACATTTGCCGCGCGTCGGCTTTTGATCCAACATATGTGGCGGTAAGGATTGGGCACGCCGAGACGACATGGCGGCTGCAACTATTTATTTTTTCACTTCTAATTAATGTGGGTTTCTTAACATATTACATATTTCGCCAGCGCATATTCACCACAGATCGTAACTAACGGTTTTTCTTTGAAACAAAAGTAATTATATGTGTATATGTGTGTATGCGTGGAAGTAGATGTTAATGCAAAATACTTATAGATGTGCAATATGTTTTGAAAATCACGCTGTGCAACTGGCGTTTATCACGACAACGAGCAGATCATCTCAACGTACAGCACACGGTACACACACGCACACGCTTGGAGAGCAAAATCGAATTTCGTTTATTTTAAAATCTTGCACACTACTTGTTGCTACATTTGTTGTATATTTTGTGTATTTCTGGTGAGATGGGAACTACTCTAGTGTCTGCCGCTAATGAGACACAAAGGAACCGACACAAGCGCACACACAAAGTAAGTTGTAGACGATATTCTATGGATACACACACGCAATGTCGAATATTGCAAATGATTTGGGAAAATTTTTGGAAAATTTAATTTCATTTAACGCTTTTAAAATACAATCAAATGCATTTTCTACTCAAGTTCTTTTTTCTTTTTCCAATAAAAACTAAAAAACCAAGCATAATGTTCACTATATAGTTTTTTTTATATTTAATCACCAATTAACTATTCAGTACCGAAATAGCACCTTCAGCGACTTTTCAACCGAACCCAACGTGTACTCAGAGCATACTAAATAGGCCGCCACACATTTTGGAATACTCACAGCAGTTTTTGGCTATGCGCTAAGTAAAATAAACAACAAAAGATATTAAAAACAAAACAGAAGCAATTTTATTTCAGTTCAAACTGAGGCGGAATACCTTTGAATTGGCTTATCGCTTTGTTTTTCGCTCAGTTGCAAACAGAAATTCACAAATATTGAAAAATTAACGAACTAAGTTCATTTAATTTAATTTACAATCCACAGTTAGAGGCTATAGACAGTTTACATTAATTTAATTTAAAAAATAAAATAAAAACAATAATAGGCTGCAACATGCTACCGTCCAACCGGCTTGTGATTTTCAACAGCTTCTCATTATCAAAAAAAAAAAAATATTTCCAAAATGCTTTTGTTGGATATCTAATAATCTTGTAAATGTGTTGATAGTCAACAGTGAAATTTATATTTCAAAATGCATCGTTGTTCGAAATACTGCAATGATTTGGCTTATTGATATTTTGCAATCGTTGGGAGGGGCGCAAAATCCGCGCGCCTTCCAGCACTAGCAATCTTTGATGAGCCACCAACAGAACTGTAAGCAAAATTCACAAAATAACAGATAATTTATTAATACATATAGATTATCATTAACTAGATTTAGTGTTTACCGCCAAAACAATGACGTGCCGCGCTTAAGCTCGCCACGCGCTTGTAAGTCATTCCAACAATCAACCCAGTTTATGTATTCAGGCATCACTGGCGGGCGGCCAGCCATTAAGCGTGAGCCTGTCACAGACATGCATGAAGAAACCACTTGGAACGGATACAAAACGCTTGAGAAAGCAAACTACATGAAAAAATAAGCATACTTATATCAAAAGTTTTTAATAAAAATATATATAATCGTACGTACTTGTACAAAGCCGGCATTATACTGTCTTCCAATTTTGTCTTTGATAAGATATTTGTTTAGCACGAATACCGTGGTACTTGTGAGCACCAGACACACTACATCACAAAGCAGCTTGGGAACTAAACCGGAAAAAAATCCTAAAACACCTTCAGTTTTATAAATTTCTTTAATGGAACCAAATATTGATTGATAAAGAGTTTCTCGTCCAATAAATTGTGCCATCATACGCAGTGAAATCACATGAAATGGATGCGAGACAATTATCCCCGATACGCTCAACACAACATCGCGCTTTAGGTTCACCTTAAACTGTACATAACTGCAAATACAAAAATGACATTAAACGTATGTTTTTAATGTGTATGTAACTTACAGTTCTTCATCGGTGAGGTCATTTTCATCCTTATCATTATCATCGATTGCTGGAAGGCCCACCCTATCCGCAATTTTTTCACTGAAAATCATGCTAACAATAGAACCTACTAATTTGGGCGCAAGACCACGATAACAGCCATAGAAACCATCTATTTTCCTGATGTATCCAGCTATAAAGAAATGTAAGCATGGGCATTATGACGCAAATCACTCGAATGTCATTTTATAATTTTTGTTCTTGCTGTTGTTTCACTAACCGTACTGAAAGATATTGGGCAGCACCATAATTGGTTTTCCCAAGAGGGATGTGCCGGGACGTGCTGGTATGGGTTCATAGCCTAACTGGATAAGCACCTTTGAATATTCAAATGGGTGTAGTGCAGCGCTAACTGCTAGTCGCATTCCAAAACGAATCCATTCATTCACTTCTTTATTTTCGTCATTGTCATTTATTTTAACGAATGTGGAATCTAATGTTGCCATGATTCTATGAGTTTTGTGCTAATCTTTAAGTTTCACGGTAATTTTCAACCCGGCAGCGCCTATTTTGATATTATGGAACAGCCGGCTGCTATAGACTTTACTCCGAATATCAGTAAAACGAATTGACAGGTTATGAAAAAAATTGACAGCTGAGTGTCTTTGTTCGTTTTAGTTTCGGAATGTTGAACTTTACTATTAGACACCGGGTGCCACTAAGGCGCAAATTTTTTAAATTTATTAATAAATTTCTACAAATCTTGTAAAATAGTGCTTAGTATTAGTGACAACAAACGATCACATTTTATTAATAAAATTTTGTGACAATTAAGTATATTTAAAAATCTTTTTGATCAAATATCGAACATGTTGATGATCAGCTGTTAGGAGTTTTTGTTTATGCAACAGGCATGCACATGTGTGTGTTAAGTCAATCAAGCCGCCAAAATGTACCGCTACTTGTTAAACATCTCATATATAGGTACAAATTTCCGGTAATTGTTTTATTTTATAATATATTATTTAGCAACGCTTTAAAAATAAAATGTGTTTACTAATTTTGCCAGTGGTATACAGAAAACGATTAATAAAGCTGCGGAATCCCAAGTGGATACAAAAACTATACAAGGCTGCATTGAATTGGTTTGTCGGGCGTTGCATCCCAAAAACGAAATCCAAACCGTGCTTTCAAGTCGGTAAGTTGGCATATTTGTATTCCAAATACATATATATTGCATATTTCCTTAATTTTTAATTGTTTGACTTTCTTGTAGCACTGACGCTGGTGTGCATGCATTACATTCAACGCTTCACATAGACTTGGAGCGTCATAATGCGGAACCCTATGAACCTGCTAACATCACCAGCATTTTAAACCGTATGCTTCTTAAAAATGCATTGCCAATACGAGTATTGAGCACCCAACAAGTTCCGAACACTTTCCACAGTCGCTATCATGCACGTGGACGCACATACTTGTATCGTTTTGCAGTGGCCAAAAATGGTATTACTGATACCGATCGTCCAAAAAATGAAAACTTTAAAGCTTTCATACCGGTGGAAGAACTAGACCGTTGTCTTTTTTTACAGTATGTTTGAAACAATTACTTCGAAATTAAAATTAACTAATTTACATTGTAGAAACGGTAGATTTGATATAGAACGATTGCGTGAGGTGACACGAATGTTTCTTGGTTTACACGATTTTCGCACTTTTATGAGTGTCAGTCGTCAACAAAGCCCTACACGTGATCATCCTAGATACACAGTACGCACAATCGATGAAATAATTGTGAAACCTGGAAAGTCTAGTGCGATCGGCGCAAATGCTGAACTGGCAGAGAATATATACGATTATTGGGAAATTGAGTTTAAAGCTAAAGCATTTCTGTACAAACAAGTTAGTGTAATTTTATTTAATTTTAATAACAAAGTAATCACAGTTATTTTAATATAGGTGCGACGCATTGTTGGCACATTGATATCGGTTGCTACCGGGCACATCGATGAACAATGTGTATATCAAATGCTAACGATCCCATCGAAAAACTCTTGGGACCATCGCATATTGCTCTCACCACCATTTGGTCTCTATCTTTGTCGTGTGCACTACGATGAAAAAGATTTAAAGCTGCCTAATATAGTCAATGAAAATGAGTTTCCTACAGCAGCTGAAAACTAAACGCATGGCTTTAAAATCCACCAAAACCATTGTAACCACAACAAGTGGCAAACGTTTTATCGAAGCAAATACAACTACCTCAACACCTATACAACATCTAAAAGAACAGTCTTATGGTTTTGTAGTTGATACAAAACCAGATACCATACCAGCATGTATTCTAGCCGATTTCCTCTATTTGGGCTCACAAGATGCTGTTAATAGTGAAAATATAAGTGCATATAAACTAACACATATTTTAAGCGTTGGTATTGAGACACCACGCTTAGTTGGTGACAAAGTGCAGACCAAATTTTTGCCATGTCTCGATTTGCCCGAAACGGTACTTCTAGAGCGTGTCATTCCAGCGGCAAATCAATTCATCAACGACGCAGAATCGTCGCGCGGTCGTGTGCTAGTGCATTGTAATGCTGGTGTTTCGCGCGCGGCCAGCATTGTTATTGCTTATTTAATATTAGTGCGTGGTATGCTGTTTGACGATGCCTATGCGTTAGTAAAGTCAAAACGCGAATGTATACAACCAAATGTAGGATTTATTAAGCAGTTAAAGAAACTAAAATTAGACGAAGTGTAGTTCTATGTAAGTAATTTTATCTAATAACGGTAGTGTAGTGGTAGTTTAGTAAGTAGATTAGTAGTCATATTTGGAATCTAATTGAATTGAAATTGTGTAATTATTTAAGGTATTCTCTTGCATATTTCAAAAGCTGGAAGCTAGATAGACTGAGTCGATTGTGTATTGCTCAAAAGAGTGAAGACTGCGCGAGCCTTAACTCGTATGAATATATATTTTCCTTTCTATTTTATGTAAGAGTTAGTTGCCTGTGCTTGTAGCGCTGTCTTTAGAGCATATTGAACCTTCCTTTAACCCAGGCTATAGTTCTAAATTTTAAGAGATAACTGTACTCTAAGCATGGCAATATAGAAGAAACACGTTGCACCTAGTAAAAGGGAGGTCGTTCTTCTTCTGTAGACACTTATGTTTACTAGTTTATCTCGAGATCGCATTTTTGACGCTTAGTTAGTATTTTCATATTTAAGGTTTGGTCGCTAACGCTCCACTTCACTTCCCCTACTCTCCTCGTGAATTTATTAAATGTTAAAAAAAAATACGAAGGCAACGCTTCGAAACACGTCTATGATATCGTGACGGATGATAGATCGTGGATTTACGCGCCGGAAAGTCAACAGTAGTCGACTGTATGGGTGTTTCCAGATGAAACAAATCCACCAAAAGTTGGTCGCGTACGAAGCACTTCCAAGCAAATGGTTCACTGATTTTTTTTTTTTTTAAAGTCTACCCCCCATACACTATTCGCCATTCCACCGTATATGTCATGATTTTAATTCTCATTCCTGCACATTTGACTTATCTGACTCACATTTCAAAATTAAAAGGACTTTATTACCCTCGCGTCGGTTGGGCGGGAAGAGGGTAATCGTTGGGTTATTATTATAAGAACAGTAAATTCTGAGGGATACACAACCATTTGTTTGACAGTTGTATTTCAGGAAATCAGGAAAGCCGAAGAATGATAACTTTTCACCAAGACAATGTGAACTTTCACACATCGACTGAAACAACTGCATTTTGAGCACTCAAAACATCGATTTGATGAGCCATCCGAATGGCTTCTTTCTATTCCCGTACCTAAAAAATAAACTAAGCGGTCAACGTTTTTCGACACCTGAAGAGGCGGTTAATGGGTCCAGAACGCAGGTTTTGACGATACCTCAATAGTCATAGTAGCAAAAGGCTTTGAAAATTGCTTTAAACTTATGCAAAATAGTATAGATCTTAATGAAGAATTTTTTGAAAAACAATAAAGCGAATTTCAAAGATTAATATATGTTTTTTTTTTCGAACCGCGTAATATAAAAGGTAACCCTGGTATTAAGTTTGGCACCAAGTTTGTAATACCCAGAAGAAAACGTCGGCGACATGCCATACAAACTGAACGATCAAAATAAAGTTTTTGTATGGAAAACTTTTTCAGTTGACAAGATATGCATCTTCAAGAAATTTGGCATGAATTAATATCAAAATAAATTGATCGGACTACTATATCATATAGCCGTCATACAAACTGACAGTCTAAATCAAGTTCTTGTATGGAAACTTATTATTTGTGACTTATTGTGACTTATTAGTGCAGTCAAATGTTCGTTTTTTTTTTTTTGATTTTTATATTGATTGTTTTCATTTTTTTATTTAAAAGAATTTTTTTTTGATTATTTTTTAATGTTTTTTTTATTAAAAATTTTTTTATTTTAAACAATTTTTTTTTGATTATTTTTTGTTTAAAAAAATTTTTTTTAAATTTATTTATTTTCTTTATTTTTTTTTATATATTTTTATTTGTTTATTTTTTTTTTAATTTTATTTTTTTTTTAATTTTATTTTTATTTATTTATTTTTTTAGATTTTATTTTTATTTATTTATTTCTTTTTGATTATTTTTTTATTAAAAAAAATTGTTTTTTGATTATTTTTTATTTAAAAAATTTTTTTTTTTGATTATATTTGATTTAAAAATTTTTTTTTTTAATATTAATTTTATTTTTATTTATTTATTTTTTTAAATTTTATTTTTATTTGTTTATTTATTTATTTTTTTGTGTTTTGTTTTTGAAGTAACTCCCTTGTCCAAACTCTTGCCCATTTTGCTTACCTAGAACCGAGTGTCATCTGTAGAAGCCGCTTTATACATATAAAATAAATTGCATTTCTTTTCTACATTTAGATTTATTGAATTTTATAATTTCCTCCCTTCTACAAGAGGTACAATAGGATACCAAGCCGACTTGTATCGTTCGTTTTCTTCACTAACATAGGAATACATACAATTTATGAAATATAATGTATATATATATATATATATTTATATATATAGTGTTGTAATAATTTAAAATAAATGCTTAATAATGTTAATCTTAAAGATTTTTTGACTATGTCGAAATGTGTGTACGCCAACGTTTCGGTTATGCGTTTCGGTTAGGAAATACAAAATGTACAATGTTATGACACACTTGTTTACTTAAGCACTTCCACGAGCTTTTAGAGCAAAAAAAAAAAAAGCAAAAAAAATAACTTAACTCAAATTAAAAAGTATGAAAATTTAATTTACAACGGTACTTACGGGGTGTAATACATAATTTAAGAAGGATATGTTACAACGGTAAAGAAATATGTACAACAAATTAAATAAGTTAAGCTTTAGATGCATATGTTTACATGTATGTACATACATATGTATGTGTGTATTTATGTATAGATTTATATTGTAATAACAAGTAAACACACGTGTACTTTTAGAAATTTTGCAATTAAGTTAATAATCGCTTAAACAATCTTAAAATATCACATTAAAAATTAAATATTAAATTAAAGTTACTAAAATACATACACATGCGTGTAAATCTACATATAAATAAGTATATGGAAACACGCTCCAATGTTTTCGCTGTTACTGTTGTTATTAGAAATGCAGTCCGTTTCGTTCGTTGGACACATTTTCTAAATTAAAACAAACTTCTCTTCCAATAGTTGTCAATTTATGTATCTATGTTTGTATATATGTATGTATGTATTTATTATTATTGCAATACCGTTTAAGAATTTCCCTTTAAACGACAAGAATTTGGCTTTTGATTATGTCGGCACGCTTTGCCTAGCAGTCAGCTGCGTTTGATTATGTAATGTTTGTGCTAAAAATTACCGTTATATGCTATAACTTCATTATATATGTATACGTATATAAATTGTTGCTGGAAGCATAAAGCATTGAAGCACATTCACTATGTATTAAGTAGTTATCTTAGCTGCGATTTTGTAGAAAAATCTTCCCCTCTCTAAGCAGTACTGGGATTTATGCCAACTTGTGGAAGACTTTGGAAGCCTTTGACAAACAATAACTGGCGGTCATTCGACCGCAAGCCGACTTATAAACTCAGCTGCACGGCCTGCAGCATGGCCACTTTGAGATCCGCCGCCAGGTGACTTATATCTACCACAGAGTCCACCATCTCTTGTACCGCCGTAACGCTGGGAAATTGCGCCGCTGCCTTTTTGGACTTTTGCACGCACGTCTTGAGCGCCTCCGAGAGCGCGTCTGTACAGCGTAAAATCTTCTCCCGCAGCTCGAGCTTGGAGATATTGCGATGCACTATATCGCCAATGGTGACCAGATTGTGCGCGCTCACCACAACAAATTTGCCATAGGCAATAAAGAATTTCGGCGGCTGATTTTTCTCGACAGTCTCCAGGAAGGAGTCGATCGCTTGCTGTAGATTACCCATATGTGTAGATATTTGCACGGCATAATAGCATACCAATTTCTTATCTTTAACGGTTAATTCTGGCTTCTTTGTGTTGGTGTTCGTTGTTGGTGCATTTGACGCGGCCATAACGGTTGTTTCTGCCGCTTTTATGACAGTGTCGAAATTTTTCTTCAAATTGGCCGGTATTGCTTCGCGCAGCGCTGAGTTCTTTTTCGCTGCTGCATCTTTCGATTCAAAGGAAACATAATCGTAGTCTTCCACCCATTCGGAACTGCCGCGATTAGGCGTTTGTGGCGCTTGTGTGGTGCCAGCGCACTTCGCGCTCTCCTCCTCATCAGCGCCGCACTCGCTCAGACTGCGTTTGAACAGCAGCGACGCGTTGCCGTGTATGAACGAGGTGGTTTGACGCACATCTTCGGTGAGCGTTTGCGCGCATGCAATTAGCTGATCGAGACTATCGGGCGGTTTATTATTGATTTTGAATTTCTCTTCGCTGCGCATCAGTTGTTCGATGGCCCAACCTTGCGCGTCCAGCGTCTCTGTGGTATCGTGTATTAGCTTGTCGGCATCACGCAGTGCGCGCACATGCGGTCGCAGCTTCAACGCCAAATTGCGATCTTCGGAGCGTGTCGCATTGCCCAGCGCGCCTTCGCCAAACTCGCTGAGATCATGCAGAGCGGTGCGCAAACGTACCGCCGTCAATTTAACATCCATCAGCACCGGTTCCAGTTTCTCGCGCTGCCGCCAACTCGGCGTGACAAAGGAGAGCAATCTAAAAAAAGTGAAATTATTAATAAATGTCGTATGTAGTCACTAAAAAGTTTATGCTGCTCACTTTGTGATTGCGGTCTTGGCCTCGAATTGCAATTTATCCAGCGTATACAGCGCCGAGGACAATTCCAGCGGCAGCTCCTTGCTGGCCGCGGCAGCCATTAACGTGGCGTTGGGCGACGACTTCTCCGCCAACGGTGTGCTCAGATTCGACGGCAATGGAAAGTCGTAAGCCGCACAATTACCGTTTACGCCTGGCGTCGGCGTTTGGCGTTGTTGCAGCAAAAGCTGTTGCTGTTGCTGTTGTACGGCGCGCACCGGCAATGGATTGCGACGCGGCACATCATAGTCGGGCATATTCGCCAATGACGAGCGATTCGACGACGAGAAGGATAAACTCAAGCTGTCGCTGGTGAGTAACGAGGAATTGGAGCTGCTTGGCGTCAAAGTGTGCTGCTGCTGAATGAGCGTGTTCAGTGGACGCGGCACATCGTAGGACTCCTCCTGTATGGGTGTCGAGCAGCCCTTCATGTTGTGCAGCGTCGTGTCGCCGAAGCGCAATTGAGTTGGTGTGCGACACACATTCTTGGGGCAATCGTAATTGACTGGTGTGGCCGGTTTTGGTGTATCGTAGGTCTCGAACTCGCTGCCGTTACCGCTGCCATTGGCCGCCGTCGCCGACATCATGCCGATGTTCTGATATATACTTTGGTTGCTATATAGTTGTTGTTGTTGTTGTTGTAACTGTTGACTTGGCTGACTGTGCCGACTGTAAGGGGTTGCTGGTGTCGGACAGTTGTAGATGTAAACATCACCGTAACGCTGCGGTGTTATTACCTGGTGAAGGAGACGCAAGCAGAACGGAAAGTAAAAGCATTAATTATGTTAACGGAAATGTATTGTATTTGTAAAAGATAACCGGATATATACATATATACATAAGTGTGCATAGAAAGTGCATGCCGCACAAGCATTGACCGACTCTCACGCTCACCTACTCAGGCGCCACATCCGCTGTGTATCCTTATCCCATAAATAACGGGAACGTAGAAGACGGCAAGGTGTAGCAGCGTAAAAAACAACTCTTATCGATTTTCTACACACACACACACACGTACACACACTTCAAGCCTTTAAGCGATTCAAGGTGCCACAAATACGCCATACAAACTTCAAATAATACCGTAAACGCTTGCTTTTCTAACTTACCTCAAAGAGTTACATAATTTCCGTCTAATGTATTATCGATATGTATTATCAAAATTACAAAAAGTATAAAATTCCTTGTAAAAAATGCTACATTTAACACTAAACCGCTTTCATTTTTGCTGAGAAAAACTAAAATTCTCCAAAAATTTACTGCTTTCTCGAGCGCCTTTCGTCTACAATCACGAACAGCAACGCGCCCCAATCACTACTGTCGCATTGTTGGTCCAACAAACCGTTGCACAAGTAAATAACAAGCAAGTCCTTAGCTGTCGTTTTAGCGCATGCGCTACTTTCAAGGCGCTGCTAGATGGCGCTGCGCGCGTTAGGCGCTGAATATTTGTTGCGCTCGGTGCAAGGACCTGCCTGGCCTATACTCCACTACAGATATGTACCATATTGTGTTGCAATAACAGCGCGCAATTCATGTCACTGCCAAGGTAAGGCAAGTGTATGGTCCTCCCAGCCGGTTAATCCCTTTGGTTGGCGTACTTGGCGGCTTTTAAGGCACACGTTCTTTGCCATTAAGTCACGTCGGGGCGTAGCCAAACCCTTTGTGCTGTGGAGCGCTGTGGCGCAACAAAGGTG